GTTTGTACCGCATGTTCGCAGATGAACCTAGGAGTTGAATGTTGCAGATCCCAGATTATAAGCTTCTTGTCCATTCCACCTGTCGCAGCCAAAGGAATGGTAGCCGAGCTTGGCGAAAACTTCACACATTCGACTGAATCTGTATGAGACGTCAGAGAGTTCACAACCTGTCGGTACAATAATAATATACAAGTCAGAAGCACAAAAATGAAGATTTCTTTTGGGATATCAAAGGTTTCATATCGCAGGTCTAAATAGAAAAGCATTTGATACAGAGATAAGCAGTAACACTTGCAAATTGAGATAATGTAGATCATAAACCAATCCTGTAAAAAGCTTGATAACACCAGTAAAGAATATAAGACAATAGACCAAACCTTTCCGGTGACTATATTCACAATGTGAAGAGAACCATCTTTCGAGCCACTGATAGCGAGGCTTGAGTTCGAGTTAATGTCCAAACATGTCAACCCTTCCGTATGATAAGGATGACCTACAATAAAACAGAGGTTAGCATTTCACACCAGTCACAACAGTAACATGTAAACCRAAARAGGGRAGTGAGTTTTGCWTACCTTTAACCACATGAATRCTTTCGCAWGTYTTTGGGTTCCATACAATCAAACTCGCATCATCAGAGCCAGTACAGATTAGTTTACCTACAGTATCCACACAYAGRMAAACAATTGAATGATAATAAGCAACACTTATAGACAATCCAACATAGCATACTAGTCAGAAGCTTGTATTAATACCGTCAGGAGTGAAGTCACCGCAAGTAACGTTTTGATTATGTCCTGAAAACATATTAAGATAGGCACCTCTATCAGCATTCCACATCCATAAAGAACAATCTTCTGATCCAGCCAACACAACGTGTCCTCTCGGATGCCATCTAACCCACTGATACATAAAAATCACACAGTCAGAGAAACACTAAAACACAATCTGATACATAAACCCTTATTGTGTTGTTTTCTTTTATCAATCACAAGTTCTTTAAATACCTCAATTCCGCCACCGGGACCGTCCAAAACACATTTCAGATCTCCTGATGAAGCATCAAAGACCTGAACAACACCATCTAATCCTCCAGATGCAACTAACTGTCCATCAAAGCTAAAAGCTAAACAAGAAACAGAGTCCTTGTGACCAGGAAGCTCAGCAGCCCAATCTCCATTACCAATTCTCCATAGAAAGGCTTTATCATCACCACCACCGGTTGCAACAAGAGAAGGATCGTTTGGGCTACAAGCTACTGCATAAAGCTCACCTGTATAAAAACCAAAACCATTCTTACTTCACTGAAATGATAAAAAATCTGAGAGCTAATACAAAAAAAAAAAGCATTACCTTTGTGACCAGTGAATGTGTGAACAGAGTCATCGTTTTCATCTGCAACCAAAAACAAACCATAAACTCCAATTTTTTTTCCACAAATCAAAAACACAAGAGGTGGTGGGTGATTGAGAGTCTGTACCAAATTCTTCAGCATCGTTATTGGCGTCGTTATCATCATCATCGTCTGCGTCAGGAAGATCTGAATCCAGAAGAGAATACAAAGGTCAT